GCAGAACTCAAATTCTAGTAAGAAGACCAGACTTAATCGTCTGACTGAGACTGGAGGAACCCTGGAAAGCATGGTCCCTGGATTCTCTATCAGCCCAGAACTAAAACAATTTCTGAGGCCAACTCTTCAGACAGGGATTGGACTGGACTGTGGGTTGTAAAGTGATACTAGTGAGGAGTGCACCTCTTAGCCCAAGTAGATACAAGAGACTAAACAGACAGCTTTTGTCCAGAGGTGAGATGGGAAGACAGAGAGGGTTAGGAGCCAGTTGAATGGACATGGGGAATCAGGGGTGGAAAGGAGGAGTGTGCTGTCACAGTACGGGGAGAGCAATTAGAGTCACATAACAATGTATGTATAAATTTTTGTACAGGAAAAAATTAAAAAAAAGGAATTACCCATAAAAATGGCTAGCATGGAGGACAATGATTAAACTTAATCTGAGTTTTTCACTGAACCTTTTAAACTGTGAAAGAACTGGTTGTTTAAAATACAAATTGAACTTTTGAAGAATAAACTGAGCTTATATGACTTTGTACTTTATATAATCAATTAACTTTTCTTGATTGATTTTACACTTCATAGAATCAACTTACTGTATTTAAATTAGTAAGAAGCTTATCAACTCAATATAATTTTAAATAACAGCATTAAACAGATATATTCTCAAAAATCCAGATACTTAATGCTGTAAATCATCTTAAGAAGCTTAGCTTACTATGGGTCTAACATTTCAATGTCTTTATTAAATAAAATGTTTAGGCTCTAATCTTTAAAATCAACCTTGGAACCAAGGAAAAAGGAATGTTGAACTTCATTGTAAAAGTTTTTATTGGTATAACCTTGAAACATCTTTAAAGAGTTCTTACCTGAAATCAATTTCCTTTTTATATTCACTATTTCTAATAAAAACGTCCACTTTCTTAACAAAATTTGAAGGATTTGATTTATTTTCAGAGTGAGGAAAGTATAATTTTTTAATCTCTGGTGAAAGACTTTGTTGTTTATTTTCTTGTAAATGGACCTATATTTTGAGGTAAAATACAGCAATCATTGAAATTTCAACTATCCAGGCAAAATTTAAAAGAAAAGCAAAGAAGTGCATCTTCTTACAGTATTTGTGTTTCCAGCTTGGTGAGGTAATTTCATCATGGAGGATGCACTGAAATTGGAAATAGCATAATTTAATAAATAAATAGCTGGCTCCTCATTTGATGAAACAAAGCTAAAAATTAAAGTCAATTACTTACAAAATACAACAAGAAAAATAAACCATTCTAATTTGATCAATAGTTATTCTTTTGAGAATATGATTAAAGTTTGTCATATTTATCATAAAAAACTGATGCTGTTTCTTAGACTCATGGTGAACTTGGTTTATCTTTTTTCCTTTAGACCAAATCACAATTTCTATATGCAAAATAGATAAGAATACCATTTTTAAGGGGCTACAGAAATAATCATTCACAATTTTCTTTAAAATTTAGTCTTATGCTTAATTGTTTATCCCCCAGAAGTCTGTATATCTTCTTTAAATCCCGATGGCTTAACTTCTTTTTTTAAATTGTATACACTTTAGTAGATTTTTTAAATTTTAAATAATTAAAATTAATTCTTTATATATTTATTTACATATACATTTATTAATATATATTGAAAAGGATAATTAGGCACTCCCAAATATCCCATCTTCCCTCAATAATCAATTATAGATTCATTCCCAGGAAGCTTATAATTTTAACCTAAACTACCTCTAAATGTAAGTTTCCTGAATTTCATCTCATTGGATGAAGTTGAATTTATTTATTTATTCTTTTGATATTTTATTGTGTTTTAGGTGAAAGTTTACACAGTAAATTAGAGTCCATTCAGCAATTCATACACAAATTGTTCTGTGACATTGGTTACAATCTCCGTAATGTGCTGGTACTTTCACCATTTCCACCTCGCCTACCCCGTTTCCATCCATCCAGTTTCCCTGCCCCTCCTTGCTTTTTCATCTTTGCTTTTGTGTAAATGTTGACTGTTTGGTCTCATATAGTTGATTGTTTAAAGGAGCACATTCCTTATGGGTGTTACTGTTTATTTTATAGGCCAATCTATTACTTGGCTGAAAGGTGAACTTTGGGAGTGGCTTCAGTTCTAGGTTAAAATAGTATCTTAGGGCAACAGTCTCAGGGGTTCCTCTAGTCTCTATTAGTCTGGTAAGTCTGGTCTTTTTTATGAATTTGAGTTTTGTTCTACATTTTTCTCCCATTTTAACCAGGACCTTCTATTGTGTCCCTGGTCAGAGCTGTCGGTAGTGGTAGTTGGGCACCATCTAGTTCTTCTGGTCTCAGGCTAGAAGAGGCTGTGGTTCACGTGAGCCATTAGTCCTGTGGACTAATTTCTTCCTTGAGTCTTTGGTTTCCTTCATTCTCCTTTGCTCCAGACGGGAACAGACCAATAGGTGTATCTAAAATGGCCACTTGCAAGCATTTAAGACCCCAGACGCTACTCACTGAACTAGGATGTAGAACATTATCTTTATGAACTAAGGTATGCCATTTGATCTTGTTGTCCCACGAGACTATGGTCTTGAGCTGTCAAACTCAGTAAATCAATCCCATGAGGTGTTTGGATATAACTGTGCCCCTTATGTGCTTTATTGTATACATGAATATATATATAGCACCTACAAACATGTATATACATATGCCCACAAATATACCTATATATGCATGTATATGTACTACCATACGCAGTCCCACACCCATATAGGATACTTAAGTACCTATGTAACCACTCACATATTTTTTGCTTGTTATTACTGTTGCTGCAAAATTGTGTATGTTATAGCATTTACTGTAGTTGTCCTTTATTCTTGTGTACCTTTCGGTGTCTTCATTTACCTTGGTCAAGTTGTGCTGACTTCCCCCATCACCAGAATTAACATGTGTCTACTATCTAGTAAGTGATTCCCCATCCCTTCCCCTCCCATATCTAGTAACCATCAAAGAACATTGCTTTCTGTGTGTATACTTATTCTTGACTGTTTACAGAAGTGGTATTATGCAATATTTGTCCTTTTGTGTTTGACTTATTTCACTTTGCATAATGTCCTCCATATTTGTTCATGTTATAAAATGTTTCACAGACTCATCCTTATTCTTTATCATTACCTGGCTTAACTTTTAACCTCTTTTCTCTATTCTAGTCTCACTGTAGGTGGACATCTCTAGTTATCTTTTGATGTATAACTGCTCTGTATACTAGAACCCATTCACCCTTAACCTTCTGTATTAAATTCATTCATTATTCACTACCATATGCCAGATATTGTACTAGGAGCTGGGTATAAAGTGGTGAACAAACCCTCAGGGAGTTAACATCTTGTAGAGGAGCAGACAATGAATGAGCAACAAAGTTACATATAATTATAAATTCTTGAGTGAGATGAAGGAAATGAACTCAGTAATATGATAGAAAATAAGTGTGGAGACATAAACCCTCTCTGAGGAGGTGACAACATAAGCTGACACTCTGAAGGCTAAACTGTGACAGCCATGCAAGGGGCCAATGAGGATTGAGCGGGGATAGGGGAGAACTGCACATATTGATAGGATTTTATCTTTTTTGTCTTTGGTTAATAAGTATCACATATATATGGCAATGAATTAAAATAATAAAAAGAATATAAAAGGGAAAGCAAGTCTACCTCCCACATCAGATCCTTAGGTCCCACAGACCCTCTTCCCAGAGGCAAATTCTTACAAGCTTCTCAGAGGCTTCTTGATAGGATCCATTTTTAAACACACTTATCTTCTGTTGGTCACTTCTGAACTGTTTCAAAATTATTTGTAGTTTTGTCTAAAAGTTTTGTGCACAAAACTGTTCATGTGCCTTGCTATAGTCCTACTTGTGTATCACCTATTTTTTACTTCTCTACCCCACAGCAATTTGTTCCACTTACATCTGTTTATTCTGTATGACTCAGAGTTAGGACCAACAAATGGAACTGGTAAAAAGGCGAATTTTAGGCAGATATTTTATAAAGTTCTGAATGCTCTGAGAGATCCAAACATGGAACAAGTGGCTTTGGTGTGAATGAGCTCCTGCTCACTGGAGTTGTCTTGGTAGAGACAGCATGATTACTTGCCAGTGATGCTGGATGGTGACTCAAGGATTTAGTGGTGGAGGTACAAAATGGCATTTAAAGTAAAATGACTAAACAGCAATAATTCCAAAAGGCACCACAAATTTAGTATTTTCTAAAGGAGAAATAAACAATTCTTAATTAGAAAACTGGACCCTGAACAAAGAAGTTGTCTGTATTTCTTCTCTTTGGGGGAAGTTTTGGCTGTGGCCATAATTTATCTTGCTTGACTTTTAATCAAGTCCAATGTTTCCAAATGCATTTTGAATTTCTGCAAATGTACTTGAAATTGACCATTTCTAAAACTATTACTGCTTTTCCTTTCCAAATCTCTTATATAAGTTTCCTATATCCTCAGATAATAACATCTCCATCTATCAGTTGCAAGACTAGAAAACTTATATTCATCATTAATTCTTCCTTCTTCCTCAATACTATACATCAATTGCCAAATCCCGTCTGTTTTATCTTTGAAATGTTTCAAAAAATCCAACCCTACCTCTCTGTTTCCATCACTCGGTCTTAGTTTAAGTCTCATCAAAGCCTGCCTTTCTCATTGGCCACCATGATTCTGGTGGTCCCACTCTCTAAAATTCACTCTACATATTGCTGCTAGAATTGTTTCTGATCAAATTGTTTTTCCTGTGCTTAAATACCTTGGGTAGTTTCTCGCTCCCTACCATGGAGGTCAGAAACTAGTGGCCTATGGGCTACACAGGGCTACAGATATATATATATACAGGAGGGAGGTGTTATATAGTAAATTACATTTAAAAAAATTTGTTGTCAAAAATTTAAAAATCAGGAGATGTCATGTAAAATTTCACATTCCTAGCTTTCTTGTCAGCTTGTTGTCAAAGACTATCTGATAACACTAGACTCACATTTCCTGCACAGCAATAACTGGATGGAGCTGATTAGTGGTTGCTACCCTTAGATGGGGCTGTCTACATTTGGTGTTGGCCCATCAAATCCTAAAGGCATTTGAACTTGTGACCTGACCTACTGGATAAAGTACAGGTACCTAAGTATGGCATTCAAGCAAGGCCCTTCCCAATCAAGTCTCAGAAATCTTAGCCTTAATGCTGTAGCCCCACATACTATACTTCACTGATCTTTGAGTTTGGTATACATTTTCAAGCCTTATTCCTTTACAGATGCTTCTTCCTTCCTGGAATGTTATCCTCTTCTTTTCCATCTCTCGAACTCCTATTCATTTTTCAAGGCTTGTAAAATATGAAGATTCCTGGGTTCCAGCTCCAGAGACTACGATTCAGTAAGTACAGAGTGGGGACCAGGAATGTGTATTTTAAATAAGCACCCTTAGGGGATTCTGATGCAGGTGGTCTGACAATAGCACTTGGAAAAACACAGCTCTAAGATTAAGAGGGTTTAGGTTGGCTAATACCTTATAGCTTCTCTGACAACTAATGACTTGATCTCCATCTCCAATTTACATGTCAGGAGGATATAAAGTTGGAAGTATTCCAAACCAAAGTTCTAAAACTTGCCTTTTTGACATTTCTCTTTGGAATTGGCTCTTTGACTCTTGGCGAGTTTGCTTACGTCCCCAGGTACTTGAACTCAAAGTGTTTCCAAATCCTATGTAAAGAGATAACATTTTGAAATAAAGTGCCAGGAAACAGCTAAATGGAGCTTTTTACAAGTTTTACAAAGGCTCTCTCTAATAGATATGATCTGGTTAAGGAAAGAATAAATAATTCTTGTCAATAATCAAATTTAATTTGCATAGAGAAATAAGGGAGCAAACCTAAGGAAGTAAAACTACAAAACACACAGGTTTAGCTTCTCTGGGTTCAAAGGATGCAAAGCTACTATTATTTATTATTTTTTTAAATTCATGTAAACGATCAAGTATAAGTTTATTCAATATTTCCAATGGTCTGCATGCAATAAGTTCATTTAAAGTGCTATATAAATGACAGAAAAATAATTTATTGAGGCAGATTTTCTCAGTGCCCAAGCTATGCTATCATAGGATAAGGCTACCTCCAACGATCAGTACTCATTGCCTATTAACTTGCAGTACTTTTGAACTTTTAACCTAAGGTAGGGAATAGTAGTTGTCCAATGACATAGGAAGCTGTGCCTATTGACTCCATGTCATGGAGATTTTCCAAGTTGTAACTGACTCGATGGCAGTGGGTTTTTTTTTTTTTTTTTTTTTTTTTGTGAAGGTAGTTAAATACTGTTCCTTTGGAAGAAGTATTCGCTCTTTAGGCAATTCTTAAGGCCCTGAAACAATAATATTTGGAACTCTAACTGCTTCTGTTAGAAAGATTTTACTTAAAAAAAAAGCATGGGGCATATTAGGAGGTAACTATAATTGTGGGAATACGTGTCTACACTGAAAAGGTTGAGGGATTGATTTCCTTCTGTCAGTCCTCATTGAAGAGCGTATCTCCATCTTGTCATATACTTACTGAGATTTTAACTTTTCTATTTTAGTGAAACAGAGTGAATCAGCCCATAACTCAAAGAACTAAGTCTCATTATTTTCAGATTGCATATGGTTTAAGTACAATATCCAATACAGGAAAACTAATCCTTTTTCTATTTATTTCTACTAGAAATAAAGTTTGTCTTTTATTTTCTTTGCTAGCAGATGAATCTTTTTTAAAATGAACTATTTTTGTCCTTCACAAATACTAGCAGACCATTGTGTTCTTAGAATGGAGAGCAGGATAGTCTGTTTCATGCAGGGCTTCGAACCAGTTCTTCACAGTTCAATCATGGTTGAGGAAGCAACACCAGAACAGACCTGAATTTTTAAAATTAGGGTGAACTGGAACCATAACCGGAACAGGAAAAATTACAGGTTGAAGCCCTGCTAGAAACTTAATCTCCCTCTAAGAAAACAAGGGGGCAGCATAAGCATTGCATAGCAACCAAATCTCTTGCTGTTTGTGGAAGGGTCACATTATCAAGTTTGCTAAAAATTATAATATTAAGAAATCAAATCTAATTAAATAAGCACACATAAAAAGGAAGAGAAAATTAGTCCCAGAAGCCAAACTGAAAAATATTAAAAGAATTTCTCATGAAACTATTTCATGCTAAAATAAATTTTACCTGATGTTTCTGTCTTGTCAGTTTCAGTTGAAAAGCTAGTCACTTCTATTAAATTTTCATCATCAAAATCATCCCAAACTTCATTTCCCAATTCAAAGTTCACATTCAAAACTTCTGAAAATGAAGAGATGCTTTTAGCTGCATCTGTCAAATTTTGGTTTCCAGATGCAAAATTTCGGTTCAATGGCACTGTTTGATGGGCTTTCTCATTTGAAGTTGTAGGATGGTTCCATCTAGAAAAATCTGTCATGTGTATATATATTTATTGATATATCAAACACATCTTTCAAATACTAAACAGAGGTCTTGAGTAGTAGTTCTCAAAAGCACTGGGTCAAGCATTGTTGAATACTGTGTCAACCAATTCTATTTACTATATTTAGATGTACTCATAGTTGCACTACTTAATTTGCAATGGATTCTTTTAGACAGAATTAATTTTTCCTCTTAACTCCTATATAGAATGATCCTACTCCAAGACTGGATTATAATAGCTTCTAAAATGATCTTCCTCCCTCTAGCTCTTCTCTCTACAAGCTAACTATGAGTATTGTTATGAAATATACTTGTCCAAAATATAATATTTATTTTTGTCCTCTTAAAAAAATCCTCAGTGTTCTCCACTGTTTATAGCCTGGTTTTAGAGAACGCTACCTGGGTAAAAATTCCACCTCTCTCATTTACTAGTTATATGATCTTGGACGAGTAATTTAAGCTCCCTAAGTCTAGTTTTCTCCTTTGCAAAACGGGGATAATAATAGTACCTACCTCATAAGATTGTTATGGAGACTAAATGCCTTTACTTGTGCAGTTTCACATAGTAGCATGTTGATAAATATTTAATAACCACCTCTACAAAATATACATGCACATACATTAATGACTATGTAAGTTTATTATAAATTTTACTGATATAAAGGATACATAGCTGTCATGGATTGAATTGTGTCCCCTAGAAAATGTGTGTAGCAACTTGCCTAGGTCATGATTCCCAGTATTGTATGATTGTGTAATCTGATGTGATTTCCTTATGTGTTGTAAACTCTATCACTATGATGAGGTTATATGTGATCTCCTTATGTGTGGTAAATTCTGTCACTGTGATGAGGTTATGCTGATGAGGTTTACAAGATTAGACAGTGTCTTAATCCAATCTCTTTTGAGATATAAAAGAGAGAAGCAAGCAGAGACACATGGGAACCTCATACCACCAAGAAAGCAGTGCTGGGAGCAGAGCGCATCCTTTGGACCTGAGGTTCCTGCGCTGAGATTCTCCCAGACCAAGGGAAGACTGATGCATCACAAGGACCTTTCTCCAGAGCCAACAGAGAGAGAAAGCCTTCTCCTGGAGCTAATGCCCTGAATTTGGACTTGTATCCTATTGGACTGTGAGAGAATAAACTTCTCTTTGTAAAGCCATTCACTCATGGTATTCCTGTTAGAGCAGCACTAGATGACGAAGACAATAGCACACAATTTACAAATAATCATAAAATATACAGCATGCTTAACAGCAAATTCTATATATCTAATTGATTCTCACAGAATGCTCTCATTGAGTTTTGCCAAACTCTTGTAGCTGTGGTCAATTTATGGTTACAACTGACAAAAGAGTGTAATTCTCACATGAATATTATCTGATATTTTTGTTGACTTTAACAAGTAACATGGAAGTGAAACAACAAAGACGTTGCAACTTCACTCATTCATCACTGATTTAAGCAACTTCTTTGCTGAATTAGTAGTTTTCAAATACTAGAAGAATATTTCCTCAATTTTTTTGTGCTATCCACAATGTAGTAGCTATAGACACAAAACAGTTAAGTTTAATTTGCATTATTAACATTTTCTCTAACACTGTCTTAAGTATGGAGCCCTGGTGGCACAGTGGTTAAGAGCTTGGCTGCAAACCAAAAGGTCAGCAATTCAAATTCATCAGCTGCTCCTTGGAAGCCCTATGGGGCAGTTCTACTCTGTCCTATAGGGCTGTTATGAGTCAGAATTGACTCGATGGCAATGGGTTTGGTTTTGGTTTTAAGTATAAGCAATCAGTAAATCAAACCCTGATTTGTAGTGTTTGGTGATTCCCATGGTACAAATATACCTATCATAACTGATTTAAAGCTACAAATGTGGCATCACTGAACACAAAGCTGGGAAAAATGCACAGTAGCACCCCACTATATAGAAGGGATAGAGAGCAAAGAACAAATATGAGAGATGTTTAGGAGGCAAAATAGGAAGGACTTGGTGATTAACTAGATGTGGGGTGAGATATTTAGGATGACTCTTTTTCTGCCTTTAGCAATTTGGAAAAAGCAAAGGCTTATTCACTGAGCTAAGGAATATGAGAGAAGAAGCAGGGTGAGGTAAAGAGAAGATAGAAAGTGTAAAGATGCTGACATGTTAATTTTTAGGTGGATATGTCCAAGGTGAGTGTATAGATGGGTCTAGGCCTAGACAGAAGGGTCTAGATGGGAGATACAGATTTAGAAATCATCAGAATATAGTTAGTAATTGAAGCCATGGGCTTAGGTAGTATTGTCTAGGAAAAGTTTATGGAGTGGTTAAGAATTAAAAATGCAAAAATATTCCTTCTGCAACATCAACGTTTAGAGGGGCAGGAAGAAGACCCCAAGCAGTCCAAGAAGTAGTAGGAGAACCAACAGAATGGTTTAATTAAAACTAAAGTAGAGATTCCCAAAAGAAGGGAAGATTAGAAGTGTCACATACTACAGAAGTCAAAGAGAATGAAACTTGAAAAAGGCTCACTGAATTCAGCACTTAGGAGATTAGTAAATGACTTGAGCAAAAAAATGGAAAGACAATCCAAATTTTAGTGAACGAAGAGTGACTAGGAGGTATGGAAGCGAACATACTGAGTGTAAATTGCTCTTTCAAGAAGTTTTTTCCCAAGGAAGTAAAAGTAAAGTGTATAGAGAGACTCTAGTGGCTCTATTTTTCGTCTGCCTGGCATGCTTTCCCTTGTTTTAGTAAGAGTACTCATCTCTCCTTTGGGGGAACTGCTCCCTCCCAATTCCATGTGATCCTGTGAGGCTGTCAGTCACGGTACCCTGTCTTCCCCTGGGCCACAGTGATGGAACACATAACCCAATCTCAGAGTATAGGAATTGATCAAGGGATGAACACATGACTCAAATGAAGCCAATCAGAATGAGCTCCGGTCTGCCAAGGCTAATAGAGAAGACTATCTTTTTCTACTGAGGTTGCTAAACTGGGAGGATATGAGTTAGGGGATGTTGGCCACCATCCTACCTGCCATGTGAGAACACCTGTTTAAAGAATAAATGTAATTATCAAAAGACACAGCTAAAATATTGAAAGAAAGCCAGAAGCATGATGAGATCATGTGAGGCCCTGGATCTAGTCAAGATTAAATTCAGATGCCTGTCTGGACTTATCTGTTTACATGAGGCAATTGATTTCATTTTTTTTCCTATAAAGTCACTTTGAGTAGAATTTCTGCCACTTGCAATCAAAACTAGCTAAATGGGGACATGGAGTTGAAGAAATGAGCCTTGAGCATATTTATACGCTGCAAAGAAAGAAACAATAGAGAGGAGAGAGCAAAAATATGGGAAACAGGACAGGCATAAATGGTATCCTAAGGTTCCAGAGGAGGCAGGATTGGACAGTACTAAGATTATAGGCATAGAAACTGTCATGGATTGAATTGTGTCCCCCCAAAATATCTGTCAACTTGGCTGGGTCATGATTCCCAGTATTGTATAATTGTGTACCATATGGTAATCTGATGTGATTTCCTTATGTGTTGTAAATTCAATTACTATGATCTAATAAGATGGAGACTAGCAGCAGTTATACTGATGAGGTATACAAGATTGGATAGCGTTTTAAGCCAATCTCTTTTGAGACATAAAAGAGAGAAGCAAGCAGAGACACATGGGAACCTCATACCACGAAGAAAGCAGTGCCAGGAGCAGAGTGTGTCCTTTGGACCTGAGGTTCCTGCACAGAGAAGCTCACAGACCAAGGGAAAACTGATGACACGGACCTTCCTCCAGAACCGACAGAGAAAGTGTTCCCCTGGAACTGACCCCCTGAATTTGGACTTGTAGCCTACTGGACTGTGAGACAATAAACTTCTCTTTGTTAAAGCCATCCACTTGTGGTATTTCTGTTACAGCAGCACGAGATGACTAAGACAGAGATTAACCTTGAATAGGGGAAAGGATGATTTTTTTTTTTTTTAAGATGGGTAGAGAGTTAACAATGAGTATGAAGATAGAGTAATATACAGTTGGGGGGTGGAAAGTTGAAAGAGTTCCTATACTATACGTTCAATTTTCAACTCTTCACTGATAACTTTTTCTCAATTTTGTTTAATGGCATTGGACTGGGAATCAAGAGATATAGGATCTACTTCTGGCCCTGCTATTAATTAGATATGTGATTTTGGGCGAGTGATTTAATCTCTCAGAATCATGGCTTATTTTACTTTAAAATGAGAAATTGCACAAAGGTCCCTCCTAATTTAAATTCAATGATACAACACGCTTTCTCAAATGATTTCTGACTTTTTTTTCTCCTTCTTTTCTTGAAATTGGACTACAGATGATAAAAATTGCTATTTTTTCTTAAAACATTTTCAAAAGCAGTATTTGAATACATTAAAAGCATGTTTTGCTACCAATGACTAGTATGTGAAAAATATAATGAATATAACCAATTACTAATAATAGTAGTACCCGACACTGTTAAGAGCTTTCATATATTATCTCATTCAATAATCAAAACAATCCTAAGATATAACCAGATGAGGAAACTGAGACAAAGCGGTTTAGTACACTGTGAAAATTTACACATATACTAAATGACAGTCCCAGGAGTTGAACCTAGACAGACTGTTTCTAAATTCTGTGAACTTAACTACTACAGTATACAACTCCTTCTTTAAAAAAAAAAAAAGGAAAAGAAAAAGTGACCCATTCATTAAAACAGGGTATACAGTTATTATCAGGGGTCAAATATCTAGATGAGACTTTTATGTCATAATATAAATTGAATTTGGAATACTAAGTGGACAAGAAATAAAAGTAGGAAAACTAAGTAAAGCCAACATAAAGGTAAACAGAAAGAGGAATAAACTCTGATATGGAGAAGGCAGGGAATAAAGCAATAGTACATGGAAGGAATAAGCTAAAGGGCTATACATTGAAGAGAGATAAAAATAAGAGGGTTCACAATCATATACCTTCTATCCATGCTGTAATGATACGTATATTTGAAAAATTTAGTTAAATGCTTTGATACTCTAGGTGAAATTAGGGAACTCTTCTTTATCTTATATTGGGCCTAATGGCTGCCATGGTGTCATAAGAGGTGGTGGGTACTCCAGCTCTTGCCTGCCTAAAATATTAAATTATGGCTGGGAAAGCAGAAAGTGACAGCATGAAGGGAAGAGTAGCAATAGAAGCTAATTCGATGTACATAAAATTATTTTCAGAAAACCTCAAGCTTACCACTTAAACATACAGCCATTTGAACAAACAACTCAATAGGCATGATTATTTCTCCCACGTTTTAACAGACTGGGTTAGCGTGGCTATTAACAGCACGATCCAGGGAAATGATGCCATGAATAGCAGGATCCACAGTTTTGAAGAATTCATACGCATTATCTCATAAATTTAATGACAGACATAGATATAAAGCAATCTAGATTACCAAACAACTATACCCCGCAACATAGGTTATATTCTCGTCATCATAGATGTAAGAATCATAGGGTTAAGTACTGCAGTGATATTAGAGGTCACCCAATTCAATTCCTTCATTTCAAAGACTTTAAGAGTCTTAAAGAGGTTTAATAATTTGCCCAAGGTCACAAAGCTATTTTGTATAACTGGGCTAATCTTATAAACACAAAAATCATTTTAATTCTAAGGATATATAAAAGTAACACTTCAGCATTTTAACACTTTGGATATCGAAGGATCCCTTTTTTTTCAGTTTTTCCTCGTATTATTTTTAAACTAAAATATACCTTCTCCTCACTTATTGACTATCTTGTTATCAAACATTTCACATTTGCAATAGTAAAAAATCTACTATCCGACTATTTTGTGCATTAACAACGTATGTAACAAATGTCTAGGTGCGAGGTGAGAATAACACTGGGTTTGATGGTTAAGGTTATGTGTCAGCTTGGCTGGGCCATGATTCTCAGTGGGTTGGCAGTTATGTAATGATGTAATTTGTCAGTTGTGTAATGATGTAGTCATCCTCCATTTTGTGATCTGATGTGGTCATCCTCCATTTTTGCATAACACCGATTTTGCATAATGACCTGGTCTTTTGAACCCAACCATGTCGGTAAGTGAGAAGAAGGTGTAGTTCAACACTATGTGAGAAAGAGATTTTTAAAAAACTCTATGTCAGACACAGCAGGACTATCTGAAATAACCGACCCAAGAATTTAAAACTGGTTCAGTAACCTGAGAAAAATGTTGCCAAGTTAATAATCACAATAATTTCAGATGTTGGGATTTCAATAACATTACTTATCAATCTGAAGTAATGATAAATTATATTCTTTCTCAAATAACATATCAACAGTAATTCACCTTTGTTTGGATATTCAGATGGTTCTTGTTGGTGAAATTGTTCACATTCATGCTGATCCCACTGTTCCATTACCGGCAATTCAAGTAGGTTTGAATATTCTGACCTTTATAAACATAAATACAATCATAAAAAATGCTTCAGAAAATATTAAAATTAATCTGACTTTGAGAAGTCCTTATTCGTACAAACGAAGGAAACATGGTTTAATCCACTCAACACTTCTCTGACTAAACTGTATCAGCCAGGGTAGCAATGGCTAGAAATAGGTGTTTAATGGAAGCAACCCAAACATAGTCATCTTTACATGCCCTCAACAGATATCTGCTATTTGGATATAGCCTAAAAAACTACTGCTAATGCTACTTTCAGTTAAATAGCAAAAGTTAGGATCTCTAGAAATAATGCTGGCATCTGTTCTGATTGGTCAGTGCTGGTTCTGTACTGGTTGTTAAATATACTGAATGTCATCCTTATAGAAGGCCCTTATCTGAAAGAGGAATTATGTATACTATTAACTTATAGGCATCATGATATAGGGAAAGAACACTGAAAATTGAGGCCTTCTGCTTACTTGCTAGGAGTATGAGCCTTGGTTTTTTAATCTACAAAATGGGATAAAAGATATCTCATTTTATGAGTCAGATTGTTGTTAAGGTCAAATGAGATGATGCACAAAATACAATTTAAATAATAAAGTTTTTTAAAATTTGAGATATTCTTAGGCCCCTAAATGGAAAAGGTTACACTTCACACACCAATATGATTTCCGTTTTCTAAGTATATTCTTGTCATCTGGTAAGTTTAGAAGGCAGAGAGCGCCTGAGGGGAAGGCATAGGAAGTGTAGTTTCCCAGGAAAGAGACGATATAATGGATGTTAAAGTATTCTATAACTGTAGAGTTCTAAATACATTTAGGGTATGAAAGAAATGAAACCCTTCTGGTGTCATTGCCTCATCAAGGAACTAAATGATTACTGCAATTTGAGGGTAGCCAGTGATCATTTGTCCATGAATAAGTTATTATCTGGAGGAACAGAGAGTTTATGATGAAATTTTTACCTTAGATATTAACACTATATTTGTACCTTGATATACTGGGAAGCGAAGGTTTTGGAGTAAAACCAAACTCTTTAAGGTCCACATTTTGAGATTTATTCATCTGCATCTATTAACAAAAAAAGCCCGCAAGTTCAAATACCAGTTTTACAGCAAAACATTTTAACAAATGAGCCAAACAGCAAAATTTCTGCTTGTACATAAAGTTCAACAATCAATAAATTAAGAGAAACTAAAGCTGGTTCTCAACTCAAGTCTCCTTCTCAGGCCCTTCTTCTTCTTTCTTAATTGTTGTAAAGATATATGTAACACAACATTTGCCAATGCAACGTTTTTCACGTGTACAATTTAGTGAAATCGATTACATTAATCTTGGTGTGCAACTATCACCAATAATCATTGCCAAATTTTCCATCACCAAAACCAGAAACTCACTACTTCCTAAACAATGGCTCCCCCTTTCCTTTTCCCTCCTGCCCCTGGTAACCACTAATAAAGCTTTGGTCTCTATACCTTTATCAAGCCCTTCTTAAACATTGGGATTCCTCACGGTTCTTTACTAGGCCTTCCCTTTCTCTACACATTCTCAAGCAAAGATCTCATTACTCCTATGGCTTCAATTATCATCTACATGTGAATGACTCTCAAATCTGTATCTACAGTTCAGCTCTCTCCTGACTGTCAAACAGTTATATCCAGCTGTCTGTAGGATATTTCTACCTACACATCTTGCAGGCCTCTAAATTCAATATTTCCCAAATTGAACTTATCTGGTGTCTATTCCCCCAGACTTGCTTTTCCTTTAGAGTTTCTATCCTAGTGAAGCCTGCTTCAAGCCAGAGAGCTGGGTATCATCTTCAACTATTCCTTCTACCTCACCCCTTGTAGCCAATTAAGTATGAAGACAGCTGATTCTACCTCTGAAAAATATTTTAACCCCAGTTGCTTCTCTCCATTACTCTGCCACTCCATTCTCTGTCACTACCCTAGACTAGGCCATCATCTTGCTTGGATTATTGCAAAAGCCACCTAATGACTCTCTATTTTACTATTTTATCACGCTCTAATCCATTCTCCACATTGCAAACAGAGTGAACTTTATAAAATGCAATTCTGATCACGTCACTGCATAAAGCCCTTCACTGCCTTCCCAATACTTTCAGGAGAAAGTCCAAATCCCTAAAATAGCAAAAAGGTCTTAATGATCTAGCTCTTGCTTACCTCTTCAGACTCATCTCTCTCCACTCCTCTACTTATAGTTGGCCTCTAGACACACGGTATTACTTTAGTTCTTTTAAAGATTCTCCTCTCTTCTCTTCCTCTTTCCCTCACCTCTGGACCTTTGTACATTCTCTGTGTCTGGAATACTTTTTCATCCTGCTTGCCACCATTCTAGTGCCCCTTCATACTTGACTTATGCCTATACTTTCTTCAGGTCTCAGTCATGTCTGCTAGGAATTCCTTCCTGGCCCATCAAATATGGATTAACTACACTTTCTATCAAAACTCAAGCATCTTATATTCTGCTGTCACAGAATCATTTATCACTCTATAGTGAAAAGGCCTATTTACTTATTTGTATCCTTTACTCAACTATGAGCTTTATGAATCAGGACTAAAACTGTCTTATTTATCACTGTGTACTAGCACTTATCATAGTGCTTGACATATTGTTGGTGATCAGTGAATATGGAAGGAAGGAGGGAGGGAAGGAGGGAGGGCAGGAGGGAGAGAGGGAAAGAAAGAAAGAAAGAGAAAGAGAAAGAAAGAAAGAAGGGAAAACTTGGGCTATTAAATTAAAAAAAAAAAAGAAATCTCAGAGAAGGTGGCGACCATTTCAGACCTCATGCCTCTCCCCGTTTCTCAACATTCCCTTTGTTTTAGCCTCAGGACTTAGAATCTTCATTCTTAGAAAAGTTCTAGAAAAGAAATGGGCACTCTCCCATTTTCTTGGTTCTGTTCTGCCTTTATCAACTATTTTGTCTTGGATATGATGCCTTAGGCTTAGGATAAACAGCAACTCCCATTTCTTTATCACTTGGAAGGGAGATTCATGCTCAGTACTCATCAAGGTGCATTAATCAACATCACCTTCAGGCTTTCCAGGCCAGTGCTAATGGAGCCAGGAAAGGGCAAGAATGTCTAGCTCCCATTGCTGAACAAAGCCAAGCTACATATCCATCCCCTTTTCCCTCTTTTCTGGTTCAAAAAAAAGCTGATGAGGGAAGGGTCTGAAAAACTATGTTCCAAAGTAGATAAATTGGTTGGTCATTCAGAACTAAAAATGTCTTACCCTTTAGAAAAAGTATTATGAATGGTCATATTCCTAGTCAAGCCCACAAGTAATTCTAAAGTATACCACAGATACCTACCTGATACACAGAACAAAAGAGTATTCATATACACTTAATTATAGATCAAAGGGACAAATGCTACTAAAACTAACCTTGAGACGTTTAACTGGAGGAAGAGATGAAACAGCATTCCTGTTTCTTAAATCAGATAAATATGAAGAAATTGTTGGCTCTTTAATTTCTGACTTCTGTGCAACTCCAATTTTACCTATGAAAAGAAGTTTTAGTTTCTTTAGGTTAAACTTTAGGCATTGTTCACATAGAGCCAAATTTCTTCAAATCTAATATTTACTTTTTTTTCCATGTTGCCCACAAAAGAAATGAAATTACTTAAGGGTTATAAGATACATATATAAATATACCAATAAGTAGAATGTTAGTCCTATTCATCAAAGACCTTTCCATTTTCAAAGCCTGAAATAAACTTGTTTTATGGAACTCACAGCAGTCATGTCCACATGTATGTTTATTTTTACAGTGATGATTACATTCTCGGTTTCCCAGTTTTTTGTAGGCAGTCATTCCTAAATATAAGAAAAACAAACCTATTTATTACTACATTTGCTACTGTGAGTTTGATATAATTATTTTTATCCAATTTCTTTCTTTTCAGATGGGTACAAAAAAGTATGATTTTCATGCTTCCTCAAATGTTAACCCATTTAATGTATAATTTAAAAAAGATATTTCTGACAACAGTCCCTGCCCTACTATTAGCCTCATTCCAGCTTTTCACAAAGAACGTCTAGCCACCTATAAGATTCTCTCAACCATTATAGTGGTATACATAAATTTGGCAGAATATCAGTAACATGTTCTGAATGGAGTGAGAATGAGGGTGGGGTTTTGAAACATTTCTGTTGCTTTATACTTAAGTCTGAAGAACCTGGAAAGAAGCAAATTTTATGGCATTTTCAAGGCACCACTGACAGCAGCTAGTAGATAAGGCTCCAGACATATTTAACAGATGTTAGAAATAAGTGCTTCAGGGATATAAGAAATTTGCTATATGAATTCATAGAAAGGAGAGATTGCTTCCAACTTGATTTCCCTAAATTAAAATTAATATATCGAAATATATATTCTACATTTATTACATTTTAAGTAAGCTTCTTCATCTTAGCTCTCATTAGTAACGTGGGGTAGGGGAGAGACATTTGAACTGTTCCCTGAAGGACGAACAGTGTTTGGACGTGAGAAAAGAACCAGGGAAACATATTCCAGGTTAAACCTGTTGCTGTCAAGTGGATTCCGACTCACAGCGACCCTACAGGACAGAGTAGAACTGCCCCACAGGGTTTCCAAGGCTGTAATCTTTACAGAAGCAGACTGCCACATCTTTCTCCCATGGAGTGGCTGGTCGGTTTGAACTGCTGACTTCTCAGTTAACAGCCGAGCGCTTTAACCACTGTGCTACCAGGGCTCCTTATATTCTAGGTAGAGGGCATAATTCCCGGAGAGAGCAAACTACAGACTGTAGGAACAGAAATCAGCTTATTTTTGCTGCAGCATAAGTTGTAAGTGAACTAGAATTGCTAGACATAGTGGAGAGCTTTGAAAATCTTTACCACATTCTTGGTTCTTTATTCTTCATTTTCAGCATCATTGCTCAATCAACCCTCTCAAGTCACGGCACACCTAAACAATGGTAGCATATGTATAGCACCCTGGGGTAAACGGATGAGGCTGCTCACCATATGAGGCAACTGGCTGGTCACCCTGAGGGCTGAGCAGATTAATATACTGGGTACTGATAAAGTAACAAAACATCACTGGCAGTTGAAAGCTGACAGCTAAAGCATAGTGTCCCCAACTGAGCATAAACAACTTTGGCAGAACATAAACAATATTCAGACAAGTCTACTCTATGGCCATAGTAGAAGATACACAGATGTGACCACCATGTAATTGTTTCTGAAACTAGAAAGAGACAAGAACACTCAAGAACCACAAAAATAACTAAAATTCCCCTCCTTCTGTCTAATACAAATGACTACTATTTCTTTAATCCTCCCACCTCAAGATTAAATATACCAAAATACCAATTCCCTGCTTTTTCAGAACACCGAATCTAGAAAGACCTCTGCTTTCCTAATCCTCCTAACAATCACCCAGTACAAACCGAAATCCTAGAATAAGCTTCTCTCCAATCTGAGATGACCCACAGTTCTGGTACTGAGCCTTCCTTTGCTGCAGCAAGTTAAATAAACTTAACTTTCCTCATTAAGAGCTCTGCTGCTAATCAGAAGGTTGCCAGTTCAAATCCACCAGCGGCTCCTTGGAAACCCTATGGGGCAGCTCTACTCTGTCCTATAGGGTCGCTATGAGTCAGAATCAAGTCAATGGCACCGGGTTTGATTTTTGGTTTAATTTTCCTCAAATACAGGTGTGTTACTGGGGGTCTCTGGCTGGAAGGTTTCAACATTACACTTTGTAAGGTGTGTCATGACTCAGTGGTTGAGAAGTTTTGCCCCAGTTCATGCTTTCATTACCTTTCACTTAGGCCATAACTGGTTTCCTTGAATACAGTCCTACTATGCTACAATTTATTCTATATACTGTTGCTTAATTAATCCTCCTAAAGTTCAACTTTGATCAGATCTTTTGCCTACTTAAAAAACTTTAGTTGTTTCCTACTGCCATATTCAAAGTCCTCCATAATCTAATTCCAGCCTCCCTTTCCAACACCCATATTTACCCTGCATCCATCAAAACACATTTTACTTGCTATTCTTCAAATAGTCTCATGCCTTTTTATGACTGTACCTTTGATATACTGCCTCTTGTCTTAGAAGGCCCTTACTTCTTTGTCTATCAGAAGACTATCAACTTTCAATGCCAATTCAAATGGAGAAGGAGTCCTGGTGGCGAACTGGTTATAGCGCTTGGCTGCTAACCGAAAGGTCTGTGGTTTGAACCCACCAGCTGCTTCATGGGAGAAGGACGTGGCAGTCCGCTCCTGTAAAGATTACAGCCTTGGAAACCCTATGGAGCAGTTCTACTCTGTCCTATAAGGTGTTGAAATTGACTCGATGGCAACAGGTTTTTTTTTTTTTTTTTTTTTATATCATGGAGACCTATCCTGATCACCCCATCTGAAGTGATTTCTCCTTCCTGTAGGCTGCTATAGCATTTTCTTTGTGCCTTTTACTGTATGCTGCCTGTATTTAATGAACATTACATCACATTACATGAAAAACACAGTGGTGAAATATAAGGCACACTAGAGTAAGAAAACATGAGTTCAAATATGAGTTCTTAGCTGTAAAAAATGGGGTGTCTATAGTATCTGTTCTGTATGAAAAGATAAAATGAAATTAAGTATGTGAAAATATTTTTTAATTTGTTAAATGATAAACTAATATATTAGTGTATGTAATATCTCTGCTATTACATTAATTAAAGGTTATATAAGTAAATATAAAATTACAATTGTTCTGAATGATATGAAGGAGAGGGATACGATGCTGTATGTTAACGGGAGAAACTGGCCTGATCAGGAATGTGTCAGAAGGCTTCCCCAAAGAGTGACAATTGAGCCGAGGACTGAAGAATGGGAGTTAACAAGGCAAAGAGGTGGGAGAAAGAGTGTTGCAGACAGAGGGGACAGCACATGCAAAAGCTCCCTGACAAGGGAAAGCATGGCACATTGAAGGAATTAAAACAAGTCCAGTGCTCAGAAAGTAAGAGAGGGCACACAAGATGAGACCACTCTGTGTGTGTAGGGAAATGGATTTGCCATGCACCCTGGCAACTGCATGTCTCCACATAGACCATGTAGGCAAGGTCCAACAGTTGGTGGAATTAATGCCCTGTGATCCTTTTTGGAAGATAGCAAGATAGGCAGTCTTATAGGGAGCTGTTAAAGGCCATTTCTCATCTTGCAAGAGGCTCCTTATCTTGCATGAAGCTTCCATGAGGCAGTTTCTCATCTGCCTCTCTGGTTCCAGTAAGGCATGAGACTTTCGATTTCGTCCCTCTTCAGGTACAGCTGCGGCTATAAAACTGCTTAGCTGTAGTCTAGCATTGACTCCTCAAAGACAAAGCGACCCACCACTCATGCCATCTGGCCTTTCCAGTCCAGTGTTATCCTGTGGGATTAGGGATGCGAGCAGCTGATACCATGCTGATCTTGCTTCGTTATCTGTGTTAATCAATAAACTGTTCTAAATCCATTTGGGCCCTCTGGGTCCTCACCAGCCAAATCTATGGAAGTAAGGCAAGACCACCTAGCAGCTGCCACTGCACTGCTATTTAGGGACTGCATGACCATGGGGCAGTAGAGGATGTTAATGATTTGGAATTTTATTCTAAGAGTAATGAGAAACTACTGAAACGTTTTAAGCAAAGAGATGACATAATTGGATTTGCATTAAAAAAAATCACTCTAGAAGTGTAATATGGAAAATGTGTTGGAAAGAGGACAGAGTGGGTGCAAGAAAACTAGTTAAGAGCTACTGTAGTAGTCTATTAAAGAAAATGATGGTAGCTCAGTCTAGAGTGGTTGTGGTAGTAGAGTTAGAGAAAATGGACTGATTTGAGAGATATTTAGAAAGTAACAATATTTTTAATGCAGAATTGAGTGCAGCGCTTTTCCTTATAGAGCAGCATCTGGTTTTCCCTAGAGTTTTATTGCCTTCCTTCTAGTTTAGCAATGTTTTTCTTTAAATTCATTCAATATTTCAAAGATGATGACAAATATATGGAAACACCCCTACCCATTTATTTCCCTGTCATAGATACTTCCTTTCCTGATCCCTCTATCCTCTTCCCAATGCAATCTAGACCTGCCCTATAGCTGTCATCTTGGAATTTCCTTTCATTAAGCTCCTGGGCTGAATCCACTATTTTTGGATCCTTTGACTTTTTCTTTCCTGGTTAACTGCCTAGTTTTACTGGTGCTCATCCTCAAGCAACTCCCTAAAAAAAGAAAAAAGTTGGGGAAGTAAACTTTCTGAATCTTTGGATGTATTAAGATATCTTTATTTAACTTTCAGATACTTTTTCCAATTGACAATTTAGCTGGGTATAGAACTCAGGGTTGAAAATAATTTTTTTTCCTGGATTTTTAAGTCCATTATCTTCTAGCATACAGTGTTGCTGACAAAAAAAAATCTAATGCTACTTTGATTTCTGTTCCTTGGAAGCATTTATGATGTTCCCTTTATCTATGATTTTCTGAAATGTTGCAATTATACCTCATATGTAGATCTTCTTTCATTCACCCTAACACCAAGTAAACCTTTTTGTTGTATAGATTCATGTCTCATTTCAGTTCTAGAAAATTTTCTCAAATTATTTCTTCTAATTTGTTTTTTCTTTCCAGAATATTTATCAGATATTAGACTTGTAGATTGTTCCCTTTGTCTCTTATGTTGTCTGACTCGTTGTCTTTTTGTCTTCATTTAGATTATTGCACTGACTTTATCTTCTAGCCCTCTAGGTTTTTTTTCCTTGCCCATCACAGTTTTTACTTCCTTGTAGTCATTCTTGTTCTCCAACTTCTCATTTTTTGTAGCTTCTA